TGGTCAGTTATTTATATGAGTTTAGACTTTTTTAGTTTTTCGTTTTGGGTTTCAGGCTTTTTGGGGTAAACAAATTTTACCCTGTATAAAACATATTATAAATTTTATTCATTACAAACTTGATATCAAATGTGTATTAATGTTACTTTTACCAAATTACATATGATAAAATGTTTTAAAATTAAAGTCAAGAAAAATTGTTTATTAGTAAAATATATTTATCAAATTTAATATTTTATTTAAATATAGCTCTTTATAGACATTATGGATATTGTTGAATAAGTTGAACCATTAAACCATGAGCAAAAGAAATCAGAAAAATTGAAAAAGGAAACCATTGAATTGCAAACATTTTATAAACAAATTATCGGGCTCCTTGATCGTAGCAAGCATAAATTAAAGCAAACTATTGAACTATAAATCGAACTGGAAAACACGAAATCACTGGCAATTAAGCAATATAACAAGTATCGAGATAATAAAATCAAAATAACCACTGGTGAATGTTTGCTTTTGGTCGCTGGTGGCAGTTTGGCACTAATACCGGGCGTTGGACTAATTCCGACAGCCGTTTTATTGGTATCCAATTTTGGTGTCGCGTACTGTGATTATGATGATGGCAAACTAAATATCGAACAAGTGAACAAGATTATTAATGATGTTCATGCTAAATCAAGCGATTTAAAAACATTCGGCGAACACGTTGACGAAACGAGACGCACGTTCGACATGAGACGAGCGGAATTAATGCGTGAGCATAATATTACCGAAGAAAAGGCCACGGTGATCATTATGCTGAACATGCTAAATGTGGCACTAGAGTCTAGTAACGAAACCACAACACACCAAAACCTGTTGAATATAAGCGGACTGGCCCCATTAGGTACCTTCAATTACCTTTTATACTACCTTAAGGACGTGCCCAAAATAGGCGTAAAGGTATTTGGAGAGATGTTCAATGCACTTAAAGAGTCACCGATAGTTTTCAGCAGGGTTGTTTCGGCGGTGTCATTTGTGGCTACAGTTCCGACAGTCTATTTTAGTGTTAAGGATTGCTAAAAGGCTCATAAAGCAAATGACACCATCGACGAGGTCGCGCGCGATATCAACAAGGGACGTTTATCTTTAGAGTATATGATCATCACGTTAGAAATGGTTCGCGATCATATAAATGAAGTTTTGAACGATAAACGTTACAAGCTATTTGATAAAAAGGTAAAACAAATGGACCAATTACAGAATAGCACCGTGGGTATGCCGGTAATACGTGGACAACCTATAAACTGTGATAAAATTCCATCCGGCTCAAATGAAAACAACAATGATGAAATTAATGTACTGAATGATAAAATAGATGGACTACAACGGGACAATTGCGAATTACGGGCTAGAATCAACGAGATTTTGGCAACGTTGGGAAAAGCTGATATGAACAATCAAAATGCTTAATACAGGTTTCAATTAAACTTTTATCTTTGATAAATTATCTCGATATTTTCTTATCTTATATGTTTGTAAATGTTTATAAAAGCCTAAAAGTGTTAATGTTTTTAATTCTATACAGTACATGAGCAAAGGTTATTCAAATATATAATCACATCTTTGATGGTAAATGTCATGGAGTTTTCGCAGTTTACCAATACTCATATAATTTATAATGTTAATATGTTCATAATTATTTTCACTGATAAATACATTAGATTATACACAAGAGTAATAAATTAATTTGCTTCAAATATGAACATTATATCTGTCCAGTGGATACCAAACCAACACATTTTGATATTTTTAGATATCGATAGTAATCGAAAAAGATTAATTATAATCCTTCATACTACGTGGTTATAGTCATAAATTTTAAACTTAGTTTGCTTATTCATACAAATATTCAAATTCATGTTCAATATAGCACATTATGTTTGAGCATTTTAAAGCTAAGTTTGAAAATGACTATAACCACGTAGTATGAAGGATTATAATTAATCTTTTTCGATCACTATCGATATCTAAAAATGTCACAATGTGTTGGTTTGGTATCCACTGGATAGATATATAAGTATTTGTAAACTGTGAAAACTCCACGACGTTTACTATCAAAGATTATATATTTGGATAATCTTTGCTCACATGTTAAAGGTTTATATAAAAAGCTTTCTACTTTTAAATGGCAATTTAGTTATGGGTATAAAAATATATTTAAAGTAACAATGTATTAGCCTAAATAATAACCTATTATAAAATTAATATAATTTTAATTTTCTATTATATTAGTAATTCGATGAAGCTATATTAAAGTAAATGAAGATTTAAATTCATTTAAATGGTGTTTAAAAAATTAACTTGATGTAAGAAACTTTATCACTGTTACTGGTAAGATAATGGAGCGAGGTTAGAGTAAAAGTATAATGTATTTGAAAATTATTTAATGTAACATTACTTAACACTAGGGATGCCAAACATCCAGTTTTCGTCTGGATTATCCGGGAATTGAGGTCTACCTCCAGGATCCAGGTTGGGGTTCATCCTGGACATTGAAACATCCAGGAATTACCATTTATCGCATTTATTAAAAAACTGTTTAATATTTTTTTTGCACTAAAGCTATGTTTATTTGTTAACTGAATTACTACTGTAAATATGTACAAATGTAATACAGTATATGGTATATTTTAAGTAAAAAATTTGTTGATAAAAGTTAACTATTTTTAATGGCATTTTTCAATTAATGATTATAGATATACAGTAGTCCTTAATAAAACAATTATTAAGCAATGCTTTAAAAACATGTTTTCATTTGTAATGAATTAATTCATGTGTTATATTTAGTTAGAGTTAACATAAATATTACAACAGTAATTTATAACCAGTGTTAAGTATTTTATTGTAATATTTAATTAAAATGATTACTAAAAACAAGAGGGAAGATTAAGTGCAAATTTCAAGACAATTGGTTGAATAACAGTGAATTTAATAAATGGTTAACTAAAAGGGATGATTTCACTGCTAATTGTAATTATTGTAACAATAATTTCACTGTACAATATGAGGGTATTAAAGCAGTCAATTCCCACAAGGACTCCAAACGACACGAATCAAATGCCATTACAGTTAAAACGAGTAAAAGTATGTCTCAATTTGTGCCGCAAATTAATAAACAAACTGCAGATAACATAACTATAAGTGAATTGTGTTTTACATTTCATACCATTAATCATCACTTAAGTTACAACTCAACGGATTGAAGTGTGAAATTAATGCAAAATCTATTTACTGATTCAAATATTTGTAAAGGGATGACATGTGGCCGCACAAAAATGTCAGCATTGGCCGAAAATGTCCACTAAGTATTGAAAGACACGTTAAAGCAATTATTGGCAAAAGGTTTTCGATAGCAAGCGATGCCTCCAATAAAGGGAATATAAAACTGTTTCCTATTGCTATTCAATACTTTGATATCACTTCTGGAATACAAAACTTTGTTTTAGATTTCTATGAGGACTCTAACGAAAAGTCAGACAATATATTTTGTAAATTGAAATCAACACTTAATTCTTATGAAATTAATTATAATAATTCAATCGCGTATTCTGGCGATAACGCGTCTGTAAATTATGGCATTCATCACTCGGTTTATCAATATTTTAAGTGAAAATAAATGTGTAATAAAAGCAAATTGTAATTGTCATGTTCTACTTAATATAGTTAAACATTCACTAATTACACTTCCAATAGATGTGGAAAATTTAGTTTTAAAGCTTTTCTCACACTTTTCTATTTCTGCCAAAAGAATTAGTTAATTAAAGACATGTTACGAATATGCAGACAATGATTTTCAATCATTAAAAGACATGTTACGACTTGTTGGCTATCATTAATGCCTGCAATAAATCGCATTATCGACAACATTATACCTATAAAATCATATTTTATTGGTATTGGCACTGATGACTGCCCTCCTATTATACAACAGTTTGTTTGGTCGGAGACTATCGATAATATGACTATTTTTGATCTTTATTTACATATGTGTTCGCATCTAATGGATATATTTCATAAATCTATTAAAACATTGGAAATGAGTTCAACAAATGCCACAAATTTATTTGATATAATGTTTAATATTAAGTCGAAATTAGAAAATCGCTTAAACCTTGAATTTTTTGGATCAAAAGTCAACGAAAATATTAATAATTTTGCAAACAATGAAAAAAATGGATTTTTTAAATGTGCAAAACTCGCGTATAAGAGAGCAATAGAGTATTTAAGCGATAATTTTGATTTCAATGAAGGGCCGTTTATATTATTTAAGAGCATGAATTTAGACTCCGACTTAACATACGATAATATTGAGAAAATAATTGCAATTCTAAACATAAAAATTGATAAAAATTCTCTATTCGATGAAATCCAAGCATTTAATTCATTCATATTAGAGTTGAATAAAACTCAGTGAAGTTTGGACTCAATCAGTAAATATTGTAAAGCATTGTCTGGCATTCAATCAACAAGTCTGATAAAAGTCGTCGAAACAGTTATGGCTATACCTGTGGGAAATGATTACATCAAAAGGGTTTTCTCAGCGCTTAAGAAACTATGGACTGATGATCGGAATCGACTCACAATTAGTCTAATTAAAGCAGAAGTATGTATTAAACATAATTTTTCTATGAATTTTATAGACTTTAAGACTTTCATAAAATCTAACGCTTCATGTTTAACGGCTGCAAAATCTTCTCAAAAATATAAATTTGTTAACAAATGAATCATTTATTAATAAAATAAATTCTCCAGGAAAATCCAGGAATTTTTTTTAATTTTTAATTTTAATCCAGTTTAACCCAATTTTCATTTGGCAACACTACTTACCACATATTACAATAATTTATCAATAATAAATATAAATCGTTAAACAATGTAATAAAATTTTATTTATAAATCAATATGACATTAAATTATTTATTAAAATTATTTTAATATAAGCCTGGTCAATCACTTAGCGCTTAAACACACACAAGTATCTCATGATTAGTGCAGTCACCCCTTTCCGCACCTTTATATCCGTAATAAAAGTTGTAATCAATTTTGCCCACCATTTCCGCCCCAAACCGATCGCACCTTCCTATATACGTATCGGTATTAGGCTTTCCTTTATTGCCAACCAAAAGTGCGCCGATGGGTATGGGATCCTCTCCATGTCTGGGCACCCACTCGGCATCCCTGGCCACCAGTACCTCAAACTTTTCGGCCCCCTTTACGGACTGCTCTTTCTTACTGACAGTCACAACACAACCGATGTTTTTGTCAGCCTTTCCGGCGATTAACTCATTGTTTACTTTAAAACGGCACACATTTAGCGGTGTTTTGTCAACGTCATAACCGGCCACATATGCGCCGGTAGGTATTGTGGTCTGTGTGGCCTCCACCCAACTGTGCGTACATTTCGCTATTAATTTATTTAGAAAGTTTTAAGTAATTATTACCAAGAATACTTTTTATATAAATAATATAACTAGTATGCTTTGTTAGTTTATATAGACTTAAATTAAATTATCACCCGTTATATTGTGTACTAGGTATTATATATTGACCTAGTACACAATATAACGGGTGATTACTCATATATACCACATTTAAATACTAGTTCAATATATAATAAAATGGATTTTAAGCTAGCTAGGAATTAATAATAAAACTTTTAATATAACTTTAATATAATTACCGTACCTTCGACATGATAATCAGGCTCAATCGTCACAATATAGGTGCGAATCTGTTGCGGTGATAGTTTAACCACAAAATCGCCCTCTTGGGCACCGGTACCACTGATATCGAAACCCTGGGCACTCTGTTTC